AATGGTGCTCCAATTTAAACAAAAATACCTCTTCTAAACAAATATGGTCATAGGCCAACAAAATGAATCGAAAAACGCAGAATAGTATAAAACCGTTCAGCAATGAAGTTTTAGAGGACTTCTTTAATAGTTTCTCCTCTCCTGGGTTCAATATTTCTCTAACCAATCCGAACAAAGTCACCAATCTAATCACTTTTTGTTGAAACCTTTTACTAAATCTGAATTAGATTTCGCTCTCAAAAATTGCAGTAATACCTCTCCAGGGATTGATCAAATCAAATACCCTATGTTAATCAACCTAACAAGAGACGCTAAAGATCTACTGTTACAGGTATTTAATGATATCATTCAAAATAACATCGTTATTGATTCATTTAAAAACGCCATTATTGTTCCTATCCTAAAGTCCGGTAGAGATCCAAATATTGCAAATTCATACAGACCAATATCGTTACTTTTCCTAGTGTTTTTAAAACTCTAAAATCTAAACTGGATTGGTGGTTACAAAAAAATAATTTGCTACCAGGAAATCAGTTTGGATATAAAAGAAGCTTTGGAACACTAGATGCTCTAACAACCATTATGGTAGATGTACAAAATAACTAACTAGAAACAACTATTTAACACGACTATTCTTGGATATTGAGGGAGCATACGAATCAGTTTGCTTGTCAACTTTAAGAAATAAAATGGTTAATTAATTTCATATGCCAATCGCATTCGTGGATACAATAATTGGATTTTACACAAAGAGGATCATCTATGTAAGAGATCATAATAACAAGCAAATTGGACCTCGATATAATTATCAAGGTATACCACAAGGCTCAGTTTTATCTCCAATCTTATTCAATATATACAGCTCTGATATACATAACATCCAAATAAATAACAGTTCATTCAAAATCGTACAGTATGCCGACGATTTCTGCATCTATACAGAAAACAAAAAATATGAAACCTGTATGCAAAGCCTTAGCAAAGTATGTGAATCCCTTTTTTCGTGGTTCTCAGAGAATGGTCTCAATTTATCTATAGAAAAATCAGTAGTATCTATCTTCACAAGACATAACATTTCTACAAATGAAAATATCATTCTGAACGATCAATGTTTTAGGCTTCAAAATCATGTCAAATATCTAGGCCTTATTTTGGGATAAGAAGTTAACTTGGAGACAACACAAAGAGTACATGCTTGATAGATGTAACAAAGGCAGCAATTTCCTCAAAATGACAACTAAAACGTAGTGGGGTTGCAATGTAGAAACATCCTTGTTGTTTTATTCTATTAGATTATCGGATGTGCTACTCTGTATGGTTCCGCCTCCAAGAACCTTTTAAGAAAAATTGACACGTTTCAAAATTCTAATATGAGGGTATGTTTGGGTGCTATGAGATCAACCCCTATACAACCCTTATATGTTGAAGCCGCTGAGCTACCCCTCGAAAATAGAAGAAACATTTTAAGTGAAAAAAGCCTTCTTAAAATTCTATTAACTAACTCCCAGTTATTTTCAAGCGCCCGTCAACTTAACGAGTCAGATCTTACAAATAAATATTGGGAGAAAAAACCTTCCCCGCCTTTATGCATGGCAGTACAGAATAATCCCATTTTTTTCAGGAAAATGCACACGGTTTTTTGTCGAAAGTAAACCTTTTTTTGAAACCATACTACGTATGTGAAAAGGTGGTTCTTGGGCTTCTCCTAGAACTGCTTGGTTTGGTGAAGATCTAATAGCTCCTAGACCAATTTTTTTATTTAAATTGTATTATGTCAAGACTTGATAGATTTGTTTGCATGTTAAACCGTAAAGAATACAACCACAATCCAGAATGGATCGTATGTAGGATCTACAAAACATTAAAGAGATATATTGATTTGCACTCCATATTTTTTAAGAAACGAAGTAACTTTTCAATGGATTATAATTATTATATAATAAGCACTGGAAAGAAAAAAAAATGGTCGAAGTGTCAAATTTAGTTATCACGATTGAATGATGACTATGTTCGGCAGTGTAACACTACGTGCGATGTGATAATAACAGTATTGTAAGCAGTTATCTTTCATAGTTACGGAAATACAAATGCAGAAGATCAACAAAATTTATTTATAAGATTAGAAATTATCAAATAAATAAATTTCAACGCTGATAAGATTAGGAACATATGCATTGTTTGCTTTATAAATTAATTGACATACATTGTATTTTTTATAATATTAGCTGTATGTTCTGAATTTTATAAAAATACAGGCATCCTATTTATAAAAACCTTTTTTTACGCCATTTGTGAACATCAAAGACATGTTATTCCCTTTTCTGTGAGAATATATTACGTTTTAGACAATTGCATATATTAGATTATTTTAAATCATATTTATAAGAAAACAATTCTAAACACAAGCATATTATATGTCTTAAATATACGTGCTCAGGGATACCTACTTAATATGATTTGGCCACCGCTACTGCAGTTCAAGAGGCTTCAGTTGAAATTTAATTCTGCCAATTTCATTGATAATTAAAAGCAACGCTAGGAATGGAGTTGGCTATAATTGTTGATACAGAAATTAAAAGTAGTAAAATTTGTAAGAACAAATGATAAATAACAAAAAATATCAGTGAAATTTGTACTTGAAAAGGAAGTGTTGGATATTGAGTGCATGAGACATGTTGAATATTCAGAGTCAGAATGAAGAACTTTAGAAGTAAGTTGATGAAGAAATATGATGTTACAAAACTGAAAGATCCTAATGTTCGACTGAAGGCGAGTGAAAACCTCAATACCAAGGTGCTAAAATAAGAAATGCAGGAATTATAGAGGAAAGTCTGACTATCATACAAGAAACAGTAAGAGAAATAAAAGAACAACACCTGAAGAAAGACGCAGAGAAACGGAAATCATGGATGGCCGATAAAATACTTGAACTTATGGATCATCAGGAGGCAGACATTCTGTCTCCGGCTTCTGTACACAATGTAGCTTCGCCTATTTAAAAAAAAATTAAAGTGTTTGTTTGTCCTTTTGCAGTGTAGTGTGATGTACCATTTTATGTTTATAACATTTTATTCTTGTGGGATTGACACAATTGACGAAATCTCCCTGAAGATGCTCTAGGGAGCGAAAGTACTTAGGCAAGATTAAATTAATTAAATTGTGCTCGATATTTGCCTTTTATTTGATCAAAGTTCCTTTATTCAAGCATTCAAACTTATATCAATTCAAGAGTAGTAATTAGTTCGCAAGAAGATAAAGGAAAATCTAGGGCCATAAAGAAACAACAGGGGAAAGCATACAAACCGTGTGAACAAAATATCTGATTCGAAAATACTACTTAGGTGTTAAAAACCACATAAATTCGTCGACAAGAGAACATGAATAAAGTTTACCTAGACTACAACATAAGTATAGCCAGTTTCTATTCGGATCGATATGTCCCTTGGTGTAAAACGGGAATTGAACCAGTTAAGGAGCATACTTACCGTAATATATTCTATACCGAGTATAATATTGGATTCAAGTTGCCAAAATCAGACACTTGCAAGACATGCGACGAAATTAATATCCAAATAGAATTAGCAAAATCAGAAAAAAAAAGTTTTAGCGAATTAACAACAAGACTTAAGTTACACAAGTATAAGGCTCACGCAATGCAACAATTACTGAAGAACGAAACAGCCCGGTCCAAAATTGATAAGAATACATGTGTGTTGTATCGTTTGACTTGCAGCAAGCGTTACCGATTCCCAAATTAACCACTAGTCCTGCATTTTATTGCAGGAAAATATGGATGTATAATCTAAGAATCGGAAGACGCTGGTCACATGTTTATCTGAGCGGAAAACGTTGCAAAAAGAGGCAATACTCATAAAATTCCTGAGTTCAAAGATAGGTGAAGTAGCATCTTGTTTTCTTCACGTATAATTGCCCCGGGCAAAACAAAACTGGCTTTTGATGTCTTTATGGTTCCAGCTAGTGAAGGAACAAAAGTTTAAGTCTATTAACACCATTTTTTAGTTAGCGGACACACCCACCTTTTCTATGACAGGGATTTTGCTCTTATAGAAAAACGGCGTACAAAGTATCCTCTGTTTGTGTACTCCCCTGAGTAGGGGCATAAAATTATAAAATAATCTACTAAAAAGAAGCCCTTCAACTGTTATTTCGCAATACTATTGGTCATAGAAGGTTTTTTTTTAATGTGAGTTTTTTTTACCAGCTATCCAATGGTTGTACGTACAGTTTGTATCTTGAAAATATAGAAGTTATTACAATTGTTTATAAGTAAAAAACATACCTCTTTTTCAATTTTGTAAATAATTTCGATGAAAACGGAATATGCAATTAACTTCTGAGATAGTTTAAGTCTTAAAGAACCCTATGAAATTTGCTAAATGTGTTTAGCATCATTATTAGAGCAAGTTCAATAGTTTAAATATTTAGCCTCAGGATAAATAAGTTAAATAACTTTTAAACTATTTGACGGATCAGGGGGAAATTTCGCACAAATTTAAAAGACGGTAATGCCTCGATGTTCAAATGTACTATTATATATAACATTTTATTTTGTTAACAAAAAAAATAATAAAATTTATAAATTAGTGCAAAAACTGCTTTTTTGAAAATATATCTGTAAATTATTTATCAATTTTATAATATTGTAACCCCCAAGTGACCCCCCACCAATGTCTTAAAAGCTTCAGATATCTGCGAAAGATTTTTCGAACATTTTTTTTTAATCAGATTGGACCATAGTACTTATTGTGGTTGCTTCTGAGGAACTACTGGTATTTATCGACTGACTAATTTAAGAAACATCAATTTTAAAGTCTTAATATCTACACCGTACCAATTTTATGTAGGTATACCTTTCTATACTATATATACCTTTTTATATATTTCAACAAAAAACTTGTTTCTTATGTTCCCATAATTAGAATTTTTAATGTAGTTAGAACAAAGAATAACAATTATTGTGGTAAAAAATTACGACTTACCGTATATAAGGCCTCCAATACTCCCAAAAGTGTCACCAACTCGGTATTTTCAAATGCAGGATATTCCTCAAGGACCACCAATAACTTTTTCACGCCAGTTTTTAGCGCCCTCTTAATACCCGCCGCAGCACTGTTTTTGAAAATTCTCACATCATCGTAATCCGTATCGATTGGGCCAGTAGGGGAATAAACCACTCGCTTCGCCGGTAAATCTGTTTGTAATACGCCGATTTCTGTCTTGAGGGATTGGTCAAAACTTAGAGCATCCTGCAGAAGCGAATTTAATTTGGAACTCTTCAATTTTTGATCCGGTGCAGACACCAACAAGATCCCGTCATATTCCGGCGATTCTATGGATGTTTCTACACCGAGTTTGGTTTCAGGTGGACTGAAAAATAAATTCAAATAATTAGAGTTCTGGAAAATGTTGGATGAAGGTATTTATTTACCCCTTTAACTTCATTATGTTCAGAAAAATGTGTTTACAAAGTTACAAGTTCATACAACGCTTGCCTCACCACTCAGCTGATTTCCCAAATTGTGAATTTCTATATATAAGCGCTAGGGAGTGGGAAACCAGAAATGTTTTACAATGTGCGGCTCGCTATCAGCGACAACGCGGCGTTGCCGAGTTTACTTTATAAAAAGTCGAAGATGAAAAGAATGTTTAAAACACAAAACGACAAAAAATAATTTTATAAACAAAGCTTATCAAGCTTATCAAAAAAATTGCTGTATTATTGCATCTCTCATATATTATATACATATATTTATGTAGATTAATATGCCAATATCAACCTTCTTCAAAAATATTTCCTGTCTGCTCCCTATTACCACTTTGTCGTCCTTACTATCGTACTTGAACTTGATAATTAACAACACTACTACACTTCTTGATAAAAAAACCATTGAAATATTTATATTTGTTAATTAAATTAACACCAATATTATAGCCTTTCCAAAAAAACAATTAAGAACATTTTGATTAACTCAACACTGACTTCTAAACTACCTTTTCATTGTGTTTTCTTGGTATTTGCAAGAACACTTTAACGGATTTTTATTTGCATCCATAATTACTACTAAAATTAAACTTCAACTTAAATTTTGACGTTTGCAAATTTAACTTTTGTGGTTAACATCATGATACTATAATAACAAGATAGGATCTTCCGTAACACAAAATAGGTCGTGTTCGCGCATGCCGTCATTGGAGAGTAGAAGTTGAATTCTTGTTAAAGTTAAATGGGATTTGTATGCATTCTGTGATGAAATTACTAGACGAAAATAAGTTAAAAAGTTTAGTAATTACAATAATCGTACACATAAGAATATCTCCAAACTATTTATTAAAGATTATTTATTGATACATACAAAAAACTGACATTTCGAACGTCAAACTCTCCAATGACGTCACGACTTATGCGCAATATCTTATCTTCTTAGTCTTAGTATCATGGTTAACATGACAACTGTCACTAATGTCTTAAGTTTTGTTTTGTATAGTATGAAGCAAAAAAGTGACGACAGATGTAGCAATCCATAATGAAACCTGCAGATCAAGGCAAGATTGAATCAAGGAAGATATTACAAATGAAGGAAAGATGAGCTACACTTTATTCTAGATTTTAGAGATGGTTGTGGCTTCCAATATCCTTCTTCTTGTAGCTCCTTCTCCTATCGGAGGTTGGCTATCATCACAGCTATCCGTAGTCCTCCTGTGGATCCGAACTGGGTGTCATCTATATCTTCTTCTATTTTTTTGTATAGTCTTCCATGTATTATTTTGAGAAATATGTAAGTGTGTGGCTTATTAAGGAAATTGTTCTGTACTGGGAGCATTCTGTCGCATGTACTGCCTTTTTAGTGTTACAAACGTGGACACTGGGCAGCAACCAATCTTCGGGCATTTTTCCTGTTGTAATTCACAACTTAGTAGGTGTCTGATCTTTGCCTACTGATTTTAAGGTCTTTGCATCTCTAATTGCCTGTTCTAATTCGCACATTATTATTTTCTGTCTTGTTTGTTCCTGTGGTTCTTCTTGTATCATTCTATCATTGTCGAATAGTTTCATTATTTTTTTTTTTGTGCATATTAAAGCTGTCGTATTTTCTGTCATACTTTTGTATTTCTATGCATTGATCTGTTAACGACTTTTTTTTGGCTTTTTTATCTCTATTTTCTCTGACAGAGAACAAAACGTTTTGTGTGATGGTGAAGAAGATTTAGATAAAGATTTTGTTGAAGGAAGGGGAAGTGAGTGCGTTATTTGTAAGGATTTCTGTAAAGATAAAGAACCATGGTACAGGTATGTTAAATGTAACACGAAAATGGCAAATCTATGGCATTCAATTAATAAATGGTTAACGGTTAATTGTACATTACATGTTTCGCAAATAGGTGGATCACTGTTGGTAAATAAGTATGAGTGAGTAAGTCTCGTGTGTCCAATTCGTAATCTCATTATCACCAATTGTTCTCTTCTGTTCCTTGTTGAGGGTTCCCAAGCTGCAACGTCATTTTTAACTTGCTTCAGTGATGTTTGAGAAGATTGCCATTCGTTTTTCCACTTGCACAAAACTCGATTCTTTATATCACTCGCGGCTTTTATATCACTCGCGGTATTTCGATACTCGGCTTTTTCTATATTGGCACATTTAGCAATTTCACTCGCGCACTGGTCCGCACTTTCGTTGCCAGCAATGCCAATGTGGGATGGAATCCATATAAATCTGATACTCCTAGAATTTTCTTGAGCTTGCATAAGTTCTAGTTTTATCAGTTTCTCAAGGGAACCTTTAGGATAGATCTGTTTAAGGGTTTGAAGGGCGCTTAGTGAGTCACTTAAGATAACAGAGTTAGGAATGTTATTAGAATTTATATGTATGATAGCTTTAAACACTGCATAGAGTTCAGCGGAGAAAATCGAAAAGAAGGTTGGGAGACGAAATTGATATGTATCGTTTGGAGTAACGAATGCAGCATCTACTCGTTTATCACACTTAGATGCATCTGTAAATATTTTATAGCAATGTTCGTAATGCTGACGGAGAATTAGATCTAGATTATTCTTAATCTCTGCGTGGCAGTTAATATGTTTGTCGTATTGGGTTAAACCAGTGTTTATAATTATCCAAGGAGAGGGGCTTTTGATATTGATTGGAAAGGTTATTGGGAATTCGATATTGAGACATCTCAGGTAACACCGTACTCGCTCATAGTAAGACTTATGTTTGGTACTATTGGTAAAGAGATTTATATATTTATTAGTGAACGTATTTTTAAATAGAGGTTTGTTTACATTTGAGGCTATTGACGTTGCGTGTGATAGTGTTAAGGAAAATCGGCGGTGATATAATGAAGGCTCCCACAGAGCAAGAGCTTCAATGTTACTATTGACAGGAAAAACATTTGCAACCAAAGATTTTTTGACAAGTGTCATAACACCACCTGAAGAGAAATTATTGTCATGTACTCTATCTTTTCTAAAAATGCTAAAATATTTGGAATTATAGTTTTTTTGGGGGTTTAAATTTGTTTCTTGGAGACATATTATTTCGCTAGGGAATTCAGAAATAAGTTTTTGTAAGGTTGGAAGTCGATGGAAAAATCCATCTATATTCCATTGCAGTAGTTTAGTGAATTATATTATATAAGAAAAAATATGAATTTACGGGTTAACCTGAGATGACTCGCCCTCGGATTCAGAGGTGTCGTTACCCAAGTGTTGGAGGATTTTCTTTCTTAAGAAGGTGATATGACGTTTGGTTGATCTATCTTTTAATTGTGGATGAACTTCAGTTAGCATACGAACTAATCCCACAAGGTCAGAAGTAAACTCTTGAATTATGTTAGAAGGATCCTGCACGCCGCTAACATTGCTTAGAAGTAGATTTAATTGGTCAAAATTGAGGACAAATGTGGGTAGATGATTTTGGATAAAATCTTTGGCAGGCTCAAGGTCATATGATTTTGTTGATTTTATGCATGTATGCTCCTCATTGCTTTTAACTTTCTTGACTCTAGGTTTGGATGTAGGTACAGCAAATAATTTTTCTGTTGTTTCAGAAGTTGTTTCTGGAGACGTAAGAACATCATTGATACTACGTTTCGGCTGGAGATCGATATTAATTACTTTGCAGCTTTCCATGGTGTTAACTTCTTCTTGACCATTAGCAATGTTAGGATTGCTCAGATTGTTTGCTAATTTTTCTTGGACGGAAATTTGTTCGTTTGATATGGATGTTGCTGCAGGTTGAGGCATGATGTCAGGGGAGGAAGAAGTAGTAGATTGACTGTTATTAGAATCAATTAAGTTTGTTGTTGATTCTAGTTTATCAGGACAGTTGGTGGCGATATGTCCAGACTTTTTGCAGTTATAACAGGCCATAGTTTCTTGAGATAAGAATATTCGATATGTTGTATTATCGAAGTCTAAGGTGAATGAGTCGGGTAAGGAGATATTATGGGGACTGACGTATATTTGTCTTCTGAAACTTAAAATATGATTATATTCGGAAAGAGTGGAACTGATTTTTAGAAAAGTGACAGGAGAGACCATATTAAGTCCAATACTTTGTAGATAATCAACTAACAGACTGTGTGGTATTGTTGGACATACGTTTGAAAAAACAATACGTTCCGCTGGTGAGATTAATCTTCTAGCTTGTACAATATTGTTCTGGATTTCTATTTGTCCATGATTTTGCATGAATTCGTCCACGACTTGTTTGTTTGCAAGGTACATGCAAATCCGATTATTGGATAGTCGGGAGGAAAATATAATATTTTTGGGACGAATTAGGTTACCCAAAGGAATTAAGTAATCTTGCAGTCGCGTATTTTCTAAAGCGCTGAAGACAATTGCTTGATGTTTTGAGGAAAATTGTGTAGAAGCTGCTGATGAATAGGTTTTATTGGTATTTGTCTGTGATTGCAATACATGTGGTGTGTTAGAGAGACTCTGAATATTAGGTTCCATTTTTGATTCTAACACGGGACATGTGTTTAAAAATA